ACTACAGCCCACTTCTTCGGATGCATCCGAAGAAGTGGGCTGTAGTCCACGAAAGCTTATGCTCTAATAAATTTGTTAGTCTCTAAGGTGCCACAAGTACTCCTATTCTTCTTTTTTCAAATAAACCTGCATTCCTTATTCGCCCTTGGCAATCAGGTGCTACAGAGATGAATGCTATAGTTAGTATGTAGTGGCATTTGTATAAAGAATCCACAGGTTCTTTACTTGGAATCTTTCACATTTTTTTTTTTGAGACTTGTAGGTCAACAGAGAAGCAGACTGAAACGTATCACTCATGGATATCTAAAAATTGGATTGCAGAAGGGGAAATGAAAGCAGAGGTGACCGCCTGGCTAGAGTACTGCAGATAACTAGCTGTGCAATGCAAGGCGTTTGGGGGGTCTTTTCTAATGTAAATGGTCAGGGCCGACGGGGGGGGGGGGGGGGAGGGGGAAGCTGGTACAAATTACCGGGGCCTGGCGGTCCGGAAGGGGGCCCTGGGCCTGGCTTCCCCCGCCCCCCTCGTCGGTCCTGTTTAGCCAGTCCGCCCTTGCTGGGGGGCCCAAACCCGCTCTCGGCGGCCCTGTAAATGGTACCTACCATAAGTATTCATTACAGGGTAGCCTAGAGCAGTGTTCCTCAACTAGGAGTACGTGTACCCCTGGGGGTACACATAGGTCTTCCAGGGGGTACATCAACTCATCTAGATATTTGCCTAGTTTTACAACAAGCTACATAAAAAGCACTAGCGAAATCAGTACAAACTAAAATAAAAATGAGAAAGTCAGCAATTTTTCAGTAATAGTGTGCTGTGACACTTTTGTATTTTGATGTCTGATTTTGTAAGCAAGTGAGGTGAAACTTGGAGGTACGCAACACAAATCAGACTCCTGAAAGGGGTACAATAGTCTGGAAAGATTGAGAACCACTGTCCTAGAGGATCATGCCACATCTTCATAGAAGGTCAGGATGCCTGATCTAGCAGCCCATATATCTGAAGCGGCAGATGCTGCCATCTTGTGTTTTTAAGTCACTCTCAGAAACACAGCTTCCAACAGTCATACTTCAGGAATGACCTCAGAGCAGTGCACAACGTGACTGTTTGGTGTTGTGACATCATTTCTGAAGTACTACCTTCTGCAGTCAGCTCTTCTGACTGTTAGTGTATGGAGGCCCACAGTGGCTGGCATACACGGTGGTATATGTACCTCTGCATCATCATACATACTGGATAGCTCAACCCCAGTCTATTTCAGATACATCACCTTCTAACTGTGAAAGATGCAAACAAAATAACAGTCTGCTGTAATTCACCTTACTCGGCAATGATAATATTTTAAATGGGACATATGTCCAGCAGGGAAGAATGACTTTGGTTCTCCCTTAGGATTATATCATCACCTGTGATGGATACAATCATGTCATACTTCCAGGATAGAGGGATAAAAATACATTGCAATATATTTGAATATTACATACCAATATTGAATGTATTTCCATTACCACAAAGAATATTTACAAAAAGCATGTTAAGATGAGCAAAACCAAAGCACCAATTACTTTATCTGCTGCTTTTCAGAATAAACACCACCTAGCTTTTCACTAACCCACCCCAAAATAGTACTGATATATTACATTGCCTAGTCCTTAATTTTAGTTAATTGCATACCTGGTTTTCTAGTAAATTAAAAGTTGTGCTAACCACAACTCAAATTTTCCATAACTTCAATCAAGATTCATTGTATTATTTGCAATGGCTTTTATCTTTGTCTGTTATGTACATAGACAGCCCTATGAAAGGAAAAAAGTTACCTGACATGAAGCAGTAATTAATGAAGATGGAAAATTTGTACAACTTCATTTTTTCAGAAAATAGATATTGGGGGGTAGGGGCGGAGAGGAGGAGAGTGTCAACACAGTCTATTGTTGACCATATAACCCTCCCCCCAGGGTTTATTTTTTTGTGCCTATTTTTGAGGGGGTTACAGTTCTGCAGCCGTGTGCATTTGGGTTCTATCAGTGGAATGTTACAGACATAGGCAATATCCTATGGCTATTTGAGCATCTTCCCTGTTTTCATCACAAACGTCCCTACACCCCCATTCCCCATGCGTAAAAAGATACATCAGGGGAAAGGAAAAGATAAGTAAAGGATGGTAATCATTCATTCCAACTAGATTCTTTCTCACCAACATGGGCCATATTGTGTCATTCAATTTTAAGCCAAACTGCCTACGGATTTCAAAGGGGAGACTGCAAAAAGACAGATGGGACAATAATACTATTAATAATTTGTTAAGCAAAGATAGCATACCCTGTGCCCCTGTATTTTGTACTTTATGTATATATTTTTTGTTTTTGGTAAAGATGGACAAAAAATCCAATCTGGCTTTAAGTCAAGATGAGCTTGACAACTTGACTCAGCAATTTTCTCTTTTCCACAAGAATAGGCAGCATTTTAATACCTAACCTTTTTTTAAAAGTAACCCATGGAATTTAGTACACAGAATTCATGTTATTATAATAAATCCTGGTGGTGAATCTTTCCCATGTAGATGTTTGAAAATGGTTCTTTATTAACACAATGGAAGCTGTGAGCTGCTGGGGGCTTATATTAGCAGGTGCATCTGTTTACTTTGTAGCTGCCTGACTTTAGGATAAATCCCTCTGAATGTGGTGACGATTATGTGCAGAAACAAGGTTTAAAATATATCAGAAACAGCAATCGGCTGGATCCAATTAACCTTCCCCGCTCCCCAAACACATCCAGAAGGCTTTCCAGATCACGTTACAATTACCAGTGTTTATATTCTTTTGAGGAGGAGAAATTACATCTGAAAAGAAGTACGGGCCCTTTAAGCAGATGCTGTTAAAGAGTGTAATTCACTCTTAGGGACCCACCAGAGATCATTAATAATATACACAATATGTTCAAAGTAAAATAAATGTACCTTGCTGTCATAAAGATTATTATAGAATTAATAAAATAAAACAAAGCCTGCCACACACATACATAAGCTTACAAGACTGGATCCATCTTTCCATCTATTTTTTTGTAATCTGCTCCCCAAGCAGTGTCACATAGACAGTCTTTTAACAAAACAAAGGATAGATGCTCGCTATTAAGTGTGAAGCTGAATAAAAATGGCTGAAAAGCTGTCAGGCGAGCTGGAAGGTAGCCAGCCACACCCAGTGCGAACATGGACCGTCTCAAAAATAAATTTGTTATAACAGAACGTCGCCTCTATTGTCCTTGTCAGTTACACAACAGATGATCAAAACAGCGCAATATTTTACAGCAGGTGGTTTAGGGGTGTGCTAGAAAAAATAATCACGGAATAATTTTAAAGGCTACCATACAGCAAACTGACAAATGTGTGGCAGTGCCACAGTATTCTCAGTATTATTACAGTTATTGCCGGGGCTACATTTTCTTTGTGTTGACAGTGGACACAGATCTCAAAATGGGTGTGTCCCATCAAAAAGGATGCACTGATGCTCCAAAACAGGACTGTCAGTAAACCTCAGGAGCCTAAACAGACACAAATTCACAATTACTGCCCTCTTCTAAAAGCACCACGGCATATGAAATCATGCTGGGCACAGACAGACAATGATCCTCAAGGATGAGGAAAAGAGCTACATAATCAGGGATGGGTGGTATTGATAGGAGCTGCAGTGTGAGAGGAAAACGTCCTGCATTATATGTTTTTAAGACGTAACAGCCGGGGACTGGAGAAATGAAAGAAATTCCTAGAGTATAATTAGAGTTGTTTTTTAAAATTACTTCAAAGAAAATCTTCCGGGGAAATAAAAAGCATGCAAAGGCCCACAGGTGAACAATGCAAAATGGTTGGATGCTGCCTTTGCCTTCTCTCACATGCAGTCTTTCTAGGCATGCAACACTAGAATAGATATAATACCCTGACATTTCCAGTTGCTCCACAGACATTCCATCTTGGTAGAATCGGCACTGGCTTGCATCGTGAGGGGTTAGGAATCGCGGCTCCTTTCCTGGATTCTCACTGAGGCATTCCAAAGCATGAATAGGTTAGTGGGTATCACGGCTGCTTCCTTGTACTGACTACAGACCGATGCTGTAAGCAGAACAGGGAGAGGGGGGAGGGCATATTGTACGCGCTGCAGTCTTCACTGCAGCAAATCAGCACTGTGATGTGGTTGCCCTAGGGAGCAGGCTCCTTTGAAAAGGGGATGCAGTTGCCTATCAAATCAAAAGCATTCGCTTGGCGGCTTAGCCCTGTTAAGCCATCGAAATGGTTAACTCAACCTGACAGCACAGAAACAAAAACAAATTGGGTGGGGTGGGGTGGGGTGGGGCTCAGCTTCCCATGTATTTACTCCCCCTGTGACTATTAATGTTCCAGAAATTTCTGGAGAACATTAAGAAATCCACTGTTTTCTTCAGATTGGTGGAGGGCCAAATCCCCCCTCATTTACATCGGTCCCTCTGCATTAGTCCTGCTCCCTGTCACATCTGTGCAGGGCCAGAGAGGGCCTGGCTGCAGCTCAAGGCAGAAGCCAGCTCCCGAAATGCAGCCCATTCTGTTTATTTTTATTTTTTTAAATGATCTGTGAACTGAGATTTGGCCAAATAGTCCAGAGACGCAAGGAAATGACAGAGTAAATGAACCCCCAAAACGTTCGCAGCTTTCCAAGTCTGGGTATAGGACAGAGCACGAATGAGCAGAGACTTGATTCCAGTTACCACGCCCAAGCCCCCCAGTCTGTGCATCACACAAAAAAGCAAGCGCAGATAGGAGAATGTGTCTGATAATGGGACTTTGGAGAGAGGGGGTTAGGAGCCGGCAGCGACATGGGGCTATGTTCCTAGGGAGATACACTAGACAGTTCTTAAACAAACGCTATATTAAAGGTGGCCCCACATGATTTACATGTGCTAGGAGCATCTTTACATTTAAAGAGGGAAAGCTCTCAGCATAAAGCATGGAAGCCATGAATTCTTGAATTCTAATCCCAGCTCGGACACTGATTTCCCCTTAGCCATGCCACTTAACTTCTTTGCCTCAGTTTCTCCAGCAGTAAAATGAAGGATAATGCTTCCCCATGTCCCTTGCAGAGACATGCCGAGGGTTAATTAATCTAGCATCCTAGAGCTGAACAGCACTGGCAATAAGCAGACTTAGAATTTACACAGTGTTTGGCCTTTTCACAGCACAGTCCATATATTAATCAATCCCAAAACACCCCCTAAATAAGTATTATTATCCCCATTTCACTGATGGGAAAACTGAGACATGGAAACCTATCATACAAGTCACGGTCAGCACTGGGATTAGTCTTTAGGAGTACCCAGCTCCCAGACTGATATTTAATCTTCTAGACCAATGGTCCCCAAACTGTGGGATGTGCCTTCCTAGGAGGGTGTGGAGGAA